TGCCTCCTCTTCATTCTGCGTTTTCATACCCCGTGACAGTTATTGACACACAGCCAAATTAAGCTTCACCTTTCAAGGCAACACAACGACACATATCAGTTTTAAAACGACTGTCACCTTGAGTCTGCAGGAAGAGGGATGGCCTAGTTTACTGTTGTTTTGATCTCCAGGCTTACCTGCTAAAGGGACCGGTCTTATTCTAAGATTTAATTAAAAAGTCATTCACTGAAGCGTATTCCCTGACACGTAGCATTTTCATATTTCATACAATGAAAAATAAATGAAATACCTGTGTGAATATGGGGGCAGCAATGGAGGAATCTGTTGCATGCTGCTTTTGAAGTTAAATCTTAAAGCGTTTTGTTTTAAATGATGAACATGCACGGTGTACCTGTAACCTCTACAAAATGATGCGGAAGTGGCAGTCAACTTCCCTTTTTTCTTTTTAATCTTTTTTAATAATATTTATAATTTCCTTTAAAAAAAGATGAATAGTCATGCTCCTAAACTTATGATATGTTTTCTTGATTTGAGGACAAAATGAATCCTGTAGTGTGTTGTTTCTTCCATTAGAAATAGTAACACAGATAGACGTATCACATTGTTTGTTACCTTAACAATGAAGATGAGTGTGTTGTGAATATTTGGGTTCAAATACAGTCTATGGTTGAACAATCAATCGAAGCAATATCGACTAGTGCATTATCCAAATCGCAGTACCGAAATATTTGTTAATGAGAAAAATATGTGAAAATATCCGAATGAAAATGTAGAAGTTGATCTGCAAACTCTATTTGAGCGATCCTTTGTGTTTGGGATCATGTGTGTTTGGGGATTTTAGCCTTTGCAGACCATTTACATGCACACAAACCTATACAGGAAAGGGAAACCCCCCCAAAAAAGAACAATAGGGCCTCTTTAAAGGCTCTACCCACTGGTGGTCTTCACTGCAGACTCTGTGTGAATCCTCTGCCCCAACAAAGGAGTTCCTTTATCAGCGGGTGATCAATAGGAGAGGGACCGTGGTTATTCAAACTGGGGAAAGTGTGACACGTGTAGGTTTATTATATTCATTTTTAGTGGGAATGTTCATGAGCCTATACTTGCATTTCTATCAAGCCCAGAACAACATGTAGGAAGTATCTTCTCCAAGGACGATTCGTGAATAATAGTCAAATTGTCTTCATCTCAGCAGTTCAAAGCCCTTTATAAGTTATACATCCTCACGGTGAAATCGTGCGGGATTACTCTGACATTTATAACCGAGTGTCCATCTTAGAAATTCAAAGTTTTACGGGGCAAGAGATAATCGCTTCTCTGCAGTTTATTCCCAGAGGGACGGAGACGTTAGCATTCTTCACAGAATTCGTCAAAGTGCAGATGAATTTGGAAGTGTACTTAGAGCCTGTGATATGAACCAGGGTGCTGTGATTTGAGCAGGAGCAGGAAGTGGGTTAAAGAAGGATGATAGTGCTCCGGGACTGGAGCTTGCCTTGTTTCTGCCAAACTACAGAGTGAACTCTGGGAGTGTGTGTGTTGTAGGCGATGTCAGCGAGTGCATTGAGTGACAGAACTGGAGCTACTTTAAAGAGTTCTTGCCGAGAGAGGGGTTAGACAGAAAATGCTGAGTCATGAGTGCAAAGAGGAAAGAGACTTTATCTGCCTCTGTGGAAGGAGGAAGATATCTTTAAAGAGGAAGAAATATGTCTGTCAGCTTGGCAAAACGAAAAATGTCCATCACTTGCAGATGCTCTGGTTGCCTCGGCGTGTAAAGTGTGTGTGTGTGTGTGTGTGTGTGTGTGTGTGTGTGTGTGTGTGTGTGTGTGTGTGTGTGTGTGTGTGTGTGTGTGTGTGTGTGTGTGTGTGTGTGTGTGTGTGTGTGTGTGTGTGTGTGTGTGTGTGTGTGTGTGTGTGTGTGTGGTGTGTGTGTGTGTGTGTGTGTGTGTGTGTGTGTGTGTGTGTGTGTGTGTGTGTGTGTGTGTGTGTGTGTGTGTGTGTGTGTGCGCATGGATGTGAATGAGGATGTCACAATATACTTGTTTATACAGTTTTACTTGTACCCAAGTGTTTTTACTAGGGATGTAACGATACCAAAAACTCACAGTACGATAATATCGCGTTAAAATGTCCACGGTACGATATTTATCGCGATATTTAAAAATAAAGGGGAAAAATGTGGACTTTTTTTTTTTTTCTTTAATTTTTTTTCTTTATTAAATAATAAATCTGATTTGTACAGCATTTTAGTAGGATATTAGTATTTTAGAGTGTTAACAATATAATAATCAGACCCTGCAATATAATAAATCAAGTTTCACTTTAGTTTTTCAAGTAACTCAACTCTAACTCTCTCACTCACTCACTCAGCATCAACAAGGTTATCTTTTAGGAATATGAGCATGTCCACATTTCCAGGTAGAAGCTGGGATGTTTGGGCGTTTACAAAATCCCCTGCTGTGGAAAAAACTCTCTTGCTTGGTACTGATGTTGCTGGGACAGAGAGATATGCTTTGGCCATGGGTGACAGCAGTGGGTCAAACTGTGCATTGTCTCTCCACCACTTCAAAAACAATACAGTTTTTGCCAAGAAGGTGAGGCTTATTGACAGGGCGAGATATAAATATACTGTTGGTACTTGTCAATGTCTCTAGGTATGTACATGTAGCCCTGTAAATACGATGTCCTTTTGTGTTATCTGTTGTTTTATGTTCATGTTGTAACTACTTGCTGCCATGTTGGACAGGTCTCCCTTGAAAAAGAGATCGATTATCTTAATGGGACCATCTGGTTAAATAAAGATTTTTTTTTAAATCACGGTAGATTTTGTCAGTCTCACGACGGTATTGAGACATTTATTTACCGCGATATTCGATATATCGTTACATCCCTAGTTTTTACCCTTCTTATCTCTTCCCTGACCTTGTGTTTTTAAATCTAAATTGATATTAATCCTTAACAGTTTTATTGTTTTATTAAATTTCTCTCCTCAAACCACCCGTTATATATTTAATTTTGCAACAGTATTTAAAGACAACATATTATGTTAATTTTCAGGTTTATATTAGTATGTAGTGTCTCTACTGTGACACGTCTCCATGCTATAATGTTCAAAAAGGTCTTTATTTTTCTCATACTGCCCGTGCTGCAGCCCCTCTTTTCACCCTAAAACCTATAGAACACTTCAGGAGAGGGAAAACCCCACAAAAACATATTAGGGCCTCTTTAATTCGTCATGTGTTTATAAGCACCATACACCAAAGCTAATTCCTTGTATGTGCGATGTTACTTGGCAATAACCCTGATTCTGATTGGAGGCGCATACATTGTCGTTAAAGCCTTGATGCATTCGCTTTGCACTTTAAATAGACGTTAACAGAAAAATCAAATGACACCTGAAGGCACATCCTTGTGTAGCCTACTGCTGTTAATAAAGTGTTAGTCACGTTTGTTCACCATGTTCTCACATGTTGTGCGTCACTGAAGGCAAAGAGACCCAGAGAGAGTAAGAAGAAGGGAGGGGGGCGGCTGGCACAGATGTAAATGGAGGGAATGTTCCTGACCTTCTGAGCTGTGGGAGGCTGGGAGCTGAACTTTTGTGAGACCGACAGCGCTGCTTTCTGTACGGGAAGGAGCCAGCCATGCAGCAAAGCCAGGGAAAGTGGTGTGTGGAGCATCGTTGTGTGTGAACCTGTGAGAGTGGATAATAACATCAAGGGTGGCTGGCTATTACGTGTAACAGTGACACCATTCTGACCTTTTGAGTTGTGGCACGTTGTCAGATTGGCCATTGATGAATAACAGCCCAACTTTGACCGAGGGGAAACCCAACGCCCAGCTGTAAAATGTTCTCTCGTGACTTAAAAAAAAAAGAACCGTCTCCTGGTTCGAGTTGCAAATCCTGACGACTTGATTCATTCCGTGCAATTAAACTCACTGGCCTTTAAAAAGCAAACCCCTCTAATCTCTCGGTGTAATCCTAATTCTCAGACAGAATAGATCGGCAGTTGACATTTCCACAATTTAAACGTGACGTCACGCAAATTCACCGTTAATCCTTTCTGCCATTTAAACCCAACACTTTGAGACGGTATGCTTCAGAGGCCGGGGGAGTTTATCAAACATGGACATCCTCAGAAACAGTGAGTTTGTGGGAGACTATTTTCAGCAACAGATTGCTCTAGTGGGAGGGAGGCTGTGGCCAGGGGCTGTTCTAGGGGGGCCCAGTGCCCCCTACACTGACCTCTGACCCCCCCTGTGGCCCCCCTAACAATGAAAAGGTTTTTTTTTTTTTTTTTTTAAATGTATATTTTCTGGTACTCGGTTTGCCAAAAAACGCAGGATTTTGTTGCTGTAATGTGAGATTGTGCAGACACCCTTATGTAAAGTAGAGATGTAACTGTTCATTGCCTTTATTTTTATATAAATATGGTGTTAGTGCAAACATTGCACTATAACTTAAGCTGAAGCTAACAGTAATAACTATAAGATCTATCTGAAATAAATAAGTGTACTGAAACAAATACCAATAACTGGATTGCATTGTTTTCTTATGCGCAATTACTTCATACTGTCTAGTTCTCTTTTTCGTCCTGCATTTATTGTGCCCCCCTCAGAAAAATAACTGGCCCCCCAGTGGCCCCCCCAGTCAAATTGGTCTAGAACCGCCACTGGCTGTGGGTTAGTACGCTGATCTTCGAATCAGAGGATAGCAAGTTTGAGTCCCACTGCAGTCAGCATGTCGTTGTGTCCCTGAGACACTTCACCACAAATTGCTCCTGTGGGGATTGTCCACAGTATTGAGTATGTAAGTCGCTTTGGATAAAAGCGTCTGTAACATGTAATGTAATCTAGTGACGATTTGAAACAGGTGGGAGGTGTTGGATGGAGTCAAAAGAATGCACGTTAACATGGCAACATTACACCCAACAGTGTGGCTCTGATATATTCATAGTTTTTGCACGACAATGGCCACAGAGGAAGAAATATCATCGGACTAATCCTGTAGGGCGTGACATTTATGTGTCCCCGAGGCTGTAGAGCTTTTATTTTGAAAGGGAACATTGCTCTTTGTGCCAATCCCAGGGCACAGCAGAGGAAAAGGACAACAGGATGGGGCTCTGCTTCTGTATCTGCTGCCTATTGTTGTTGACTCTCAGGTACATTGTGTCACCTGATGCCACACACACACACACACACACACACACACACACACACACACACACACACACACACACACACACACACACACACACACACAGCAGCCGCCAGCAGATTCCAGCCCATAATACACACTGCATAATGACAACAGCCCATCACAGAGACAAACAACAAAATAAATGTGTTATTCCAGACTGTGTTGCGGATATGTTTATCTCCCTTTCAATATTTCTCTGTTATACGATACATGTTTGTCTGGGCATCTTAGAGAGACTCTACAGTATATGTCTTTAGTGTGTTATATAGGTTTTTGTGATTTAAATGGTCTGCATAGGCTAAAATCCCAAAGCTCTGTAACAAAGTGACATCACGATGTAACACTCACACTTCTATTGGCCAGCGCTCACAACACATTAGTACGCTAAGGGGTGGAACCTTTCTAAGCGGTTGACCAATCACAGCAGAGCCAGCCAGCTAACCAATCAGAGCAGACTGGGCTCTGGTTTCAGGCAGAGGGTGAAAAATAGCTTTTTGCACATTAAAGCCTGGAGACACAGTAGAGGCACAACATACTAATATGACCCTGAAAATGAGCATCGTATGCCCTCTTTCATTTGGCAGAATGTCAGATGTTTCCTGCCTCCACAACCCGACCCTCTCTTTCAAAATCCTCTTGACCTTCATCTCTTTTTCTCCCATACACAGTAATCTTCTCTACCTTTATCTTTCTCAACCCCTCCCTCCTGTTTTGCAATCCTCCCCCTTTTCTCTCCATTCCTTCCTCCCCACCTTTTTTTTTTTGCCTCCTTCACACCTCATATTTTTTACACATCACATTAAATCCCTCATCTCTTCCTCTCTCCCCCTCCAGCTGTCTGTGGTCCGTGCTGCGATGTTGATCCTGGACGTGTTCTCCCCGCTCCTCCTCCTCCTACTCTTCCTGTTGCCGCGCTACAGTTGCCGGGCGGCGGACATTCCGGAGGACACGACAGCAGAGTTCTCGGTCAGACTGTACCACCGGCTGCAGGCGGCGGGGGACCAGGACAACATCGTCTTCTCCCCGCTCAGCGTGGCTCTGGCCCTGGGCATGGTGGAGCTGGGGGCCCGGGGGGCCTCGCTGGAGGAGATCCGCCAGGCGGTGGGCTTCAGCCATCTGCTGCCAGGTGAGAGACAAACACAAGTTCACCAGCATTAGTGTTACAGGTGGGTTAAGGAAGGGGAGTTTAATAAATGATTGAATTACATTTCAATCAGCTGCATGGGTGGTTCTGGGTGCTTTCCAGTGCCCCTGTAACACTAAGCTTGGACCCCCCTGTTGGCCCCCCTACAAAATAAGAGTCAATAATAATACCGTTTTTGATTTTATTCAAAGACTGCTTTGACCGGAGACACAGCCGCAAACACACCAGCATTAGGGCTATGGGGGAAGGAAGAGGAGTTGAATATGATTTCATCACATTTCATTTAGCTGCATGATTGTTTCTCATGGGGGGGGGGGGTGCAGCTGGGACCAGTGCCCCTATTACACTGGGCTTGGACCCACCAGTGGCCCCCCTCCAAGGGAAGAGTCTATGCTAATTCAGTTTTTATTCAAAGACTGCTTTAACCTGAACCAAAGTTGACAAAAATGTGTTTTGTTTTTAATAATGTCATACCATGTTAACTGAGTTAGAGACACAAATTACAATCTAATTATTTTGTTGTCTACATCGTTATACTAACCTAACAATTATAAACACTGTCTCTTTTTTGTGTGCAGCATTTAATGTGCACCCAAGAAAATATGGTCAAGAACTGCCACTGTTTAGAAAAGCAACCAACATTGAGTGTATTTAACCATGAAGAAGCTAAATGTACAAAATGTTTGTTAGTTCTACTGGGTGGGGTTTTTGTTCCAATTGCTGTACCATTGTTTAACTAAAAAGCACATCTTTGTCGGATCACTGTCCTCTGGACACACAGCTACATTATGGATGTGTCCCTCTGTCCTTTAGGCGTGGAGTTCTCTTTGCTGCAGAACCTGACGGCGGCGCTGTCTGAAGACAACGCCCACTACGTGATCCGGTTCGCCAACAGCCTCCTCCTGCAGGAAGGCATCACCTTCAACCCCGAGTTCCTGCATCTGATGAAGAAGTACTTCCAGGCTGACGTGGAGACCGTGGACTTCAGCGAATCAGCCGCCGTGGCCGATCAAATCAACACCTGGGTGGAGAATCACACCGAGAGTGAGTTAGAGAGACGCTCACAATCTCATCTTACTAAAGGACCTGCATCTGATTTGTTTGATCACATCATCTTCTACCAAAACAATTGTAATGAATACATGGCAGTTTAAAAAGTCATTCAAGTTAAGTCTTTTACCAGCTGCAAAATTAAAATGATACCATGATCACATTAATTACATCAAATCAAACTTTATTGTTAGGGCACTTTTCATACACAAAGGTAACACAAAGTGCTTCACAAAGCAAAAACAATACTAACACACAGTAACATATAGCTTTGTGATTAATGAGGAAACTTGATAACAACAGAGGACTGAATAAACAACATTTTAATAACAAATAAAAAATGAAATAAGAATAAAATAATAAAGTGAGAATGGAATAAGAATAATTACAATTCAATTGAAAGCCAGTTTAACAGGATCAATGGATCAATAATTATAACCCTGTGATCAAATATACATTTGTTCAGAATTGGCCATTCTGCATAATGAGTATTTTTAGTTTTGGTACTTCAAGTATATTTGATTTTACTGAAGTAAGATTTTGAATTTAAGGACTTTTACTTGTAACAAAGGTTTTCTTCACTTTGGTATTATAACTTCAAAGGCTGCATCCAGCAGGCGCTCTCAGGACTATGTAAACTAATCTAGATCCTGTACAACCCCCCCCTCCAGGTAAGATCCATGATCTTTTCTCAGCCGATGACTTCAGCAGCGTGACCCGCCTCACGCTGGTGAACGCCGTCTACTTCAGGGGCTCCTGGAAAAACCAGTTCAGGCCAGAAAACACCAGGACCTTCTCCTTCAGCCGAGACGACGGCTCCGAGGTCCAGACGCTCATGATGTACCAGCAGGGAGACTTCTACTACGGTAGGGAGGAGCTGTGCGTGAGTGCGTGCGTGTGTGAGTGCGTGCGTGTGTGTGAAGCCCTTATTTGGGCTAGTATTTCCAGAGGATATTTAAAATGTTAATCTTAGATCTGAAATATTCATATTTGGAGTGTTATTCCCACGAGGCTCATCTTTTCTGCTCAGTGAGCTTTAATGTGTATGCTAGTCTTCACTAGCATACACTCTGGTATATCTAATGGATCCAGTTGTACTATTTTAAAGCCTACTTTGTTAATGTCATACAATATTAGTGGTACTGCGACAGTTTCAGTTAGAGGGGCCCTATATGCTCATTTTTAGTATTTAGTGTCTCTACGGTGACATGTCTCCATGCTTTAATGTTCAAACAGCTCTTTATTTTTCTCATACTGTGCTGCAGCACCTCTTTTCACCCTCTGTCTGAAACTGTTTATAGATGTCCCGCCCGTTAGCCTATCACGTACAATGTATTAGAGTGCCACAGTGACGCGTCCTAAAACCCGGAAGTGAGTTAGAATTGTATCACTTCTGGTTCCTTCTACAAAAAGCAACGGGATCTCTCCGTAGGATTTAGGAAAATATCTGGAAATAAGGTCTGTGGTTGAAACACATTTAAGAGACGGATCACGTTTTGTTCTACGACATTAAATACACCAGCAGTGACCCCACTGGTGATTTCTGAAGAGTTTACGTGTCTGAAAAACGATGGTTGTTACCAAGTGGCTGAATAGGACTACAGAAGTCATCGAGGCCGTTGTACGTCATTACGCCGAACACGTAAACACTCCCGCTAAGTTTGTTTGCCCTGTTCTGCTTGAAAGCAAGTACCTGCCTCCTGCAAACTGTTCAAACAAACGCTTCAACTTGTACCATTTACAATCTGTAGTTTTGATATGCATCTTAAAGGGGAAAGGAAACACCATTACAGCTATAATATTCCGGTAGTTTATTCATTTTACAATGGATATTGATCGCAATATTTATTGTATATGATATTACTCGCCAAAAGAAAATTAATTATCCGCCGGCCGGGTGGGGAATTCCTGGACCAGGCCGCTACCATTAGGGGAGTCCCAAATGGTGACGTCACTGTGTGGGTCCTCGCTCCGGGTATCCATACCGGAAGTCAACACAACGTGGCAGATATTGCAGCGATGGAGGAATTTTGCAATGAGATCGACGTTTTGAACGATGAATTTGACTATTCGTCGGGAGATGACATTGATGTGGAGGCTGCAAGGCTACATGTTTTGCTCATGTGTTTCATGTGTCTGTGTTGCATGCTCTCTAATCATAACATCATCATCCCTGTAGTGAGTAGCATTGGATGGAGTCCAAAGGCATTTCTACACTCTAGGAAGCAAATCATAGTGAACAAACTGAACTCAACTGACTTTATATTACACCATGCTCATGATAAATAGTTTTAGCATATAGGCCAAAAAGCAACATTACAATGAAAGAAACCAAATTCTAAAATAGGCTGGTTAGGCCTTTTGTTTATGTTTGTCATTTGAAAAACCCATGGGACATTTAGTCACAATCATAGTTGACACTTAGTCGAATATATTGGACTTACCTTGAGGTAATCATTCTCAGATCTCAGTTCTTCTATTTCCCGTACAAACTCCTCATGCATGCCGTCCATAAACTCCTCTGTGAGGTCTGAGAAAGCCAGGGATGCGCTGGGGGGCACCCTGCTGTCAAACGAGGTGACCGAGCGCTCCACGCCTGGGGATATGCTCCCTTCCCCTGTCTCCACGGCCAGGGAGAGCCGGTCCTTGTAGTCCCTCTCCGAGGAGAAGCAGGTGGTCCTGGCGGTGGCATGTTGGCTAGCTCTTTCTGCCAACACGCCATCTCTGAGCGGCTTGTCTCCGTCTAGCCCCCCGCCTCGGCTGCTTCTCGCCTCGGCGTCGCTACTCACAGCGTCCGCTGAGAGCTTGTTTTCCTCGGAGGCGCAGTCCGAGAGCTCGGAGCTACTGTCGGTCGGGGAGAGCTTCCCGGTGGCACAGCCGGAGTCCTTAGATAAATCGTCGGAGCCTGTGCTGGCGTCCGAACCCTTACGCCGACCCCCGGTGCTTTTCACTGCGTTGGCCGTTTTAGAGAAGGCTGAGGATGATTTGCCCGCCGGTTTGCTCTTATCCGCTTTACCTTCCTTTCCAGCGAGACTTCCCACGGGGCTGCGCCGGGAAATGCGCCTGCCCAGGTGAATGTCTCCCGGCTTGACGCTCAGAGTCGGGGTCCCAATCTCTCTGCGAATCTTGGTGAGCGACCAACCGGGTACATCCTTCGGTCTGGCCGGGGAGGGTACAATACGCTCCTGACGACGACCGTTTTCTTTTGTTGGAAACCACTGGTGCATTGCACGCCATGTTGTTTGCAGCTGTATTGAGCTTTGGCCCAGGAAGCCGTACCCACACAGTGACGTCACTGGGAAAGTCCCGGATCGATGGAAGCGCCCAAGGTCATTAGGCGCGTATTTCAAAAAATTAATTTGCGTATCTCGATCGTTTACATTGGAAATAGACTAGATACATACATTTCCTAATGGGAATATTGTATGGAAAGCAGTTTGAAAAGTGTTTCCATTTCCCTTTAAGTTCGTGTGACGCTGAAGCAGCGACTCTGCTGTAGTTCCTTTATAGCATAACGTTAGCATTTTGCTTCTGGCGACTAGATTTATGATTCGAAAATTATAAAAGTAGGGTAGACATGTGGATATTATCCGGCTGAACAAAACGTGATCCGTCTCTTAAATGTGTGTCAACCACAGACCTTATTTCCAGCTATTTTCCAAAATCCTATGGAGAAATTGCATTGCGTTTTTGTCGAAGGAACCGGATTTCTGGGTTTTAGGATGCGTCACTGTGGCACTCTATAGAAGTGTGAGTGTTACGTAGTGATGTCACTATGTTCCGGAAGTAAACAAAGGAGTCTAATGGAGGTGTTTCGGGCGCTAGTGTTTACTTCCTGTCCGTCTTCTGCTGATACAGAAAGTTCCACTGTGTTTTCTGATGGAGAAAACTGACGATAAAATATCCTTTTTCAATTAACGTTTACAATATCTGAATAATTCCAGTCTTTATTTTCTGCATCAAATCTTTTTCATCTGACTACCGCCAAACATCAGATGTGTGTGTGTGTGTGTGTGTGTGTGTGTGTGTGTGTGTGTGTGTGTGTGTGTGTGTGTGTGTGTGTGTGTGTGGTGTGTGTGTGTGTGTGTGTGTGTGTTGTGTGTGTGTGTGTGTGTGTTGTGTGTGTGTGTGTTGTGTGTGTGTGTGTGTGTGTGTGTGTGTGTGTGTGTGTGTGTGTGTGTGTGTGTGTGTGTGTGTGTGTGTGTGTGTGTGTGTGTAAAACAGGGACAGGTCCTCGGGGAGAAATCTGCTTTTGAATTCTGAAGCACAATCATGTAAACTGTTTGTAGAAACCCCACCCCGCTGTCTGCTGCAACATCGCCTCACTGTGCATACATACAAAAACAAGACGCCACATGTAAGTTAATGAAGGATGAAACGCTTTTTGTTTCCCTTTTTAAGAAGCTTCAAAAGAAAAATAATGTGCCAAGATTGAGATAAAGACTGGGGATGTTAAACGCTCTGTAATCTCCATCACACACAAATGCAAATACCTCAGTGAGGGGGATAATGTTTTATTTTAATTTTAATTCTAGGTGGACGTTTTGAGGATAAAAGGATTATCTCAAAAAGATATGCGTTTCATTTAATTTAACTAAATGCTTGTTGGCGTTTCCCGATTATAATCTATATCTTTGGCTTTCTCATCCTCTCTAGTGTGTCTCTAAGAAGATCTGGGTCTATCTTCGTGTGATGAATTTTGCTCTAAATGTGTGTGTAAATACATGCAGAATGTTTTTTTGGAGCCCAAATTGGGATTATTTGCTGCTTGCAGTTTTGCAGTGAGAAAGAGATTGTAGAAACAGCCTTTCCTGCTCAAATACTGTGTGTAGAAAATGTAAAGACGTTAAAGTGAAGCACCAGTGGTTTTTAATTAGTGCATCAGGGAAATGACCACACACACTTGATCAATGCTGTTGATCGATGTGCTTTAATGTGCTTACTGCCTCTTCAGCCAAGTAAACAGTCACATTACAGAGTGTGTGTGTGTGTGTGTGTGTGTGTGTGTGTGTGTGTGTGTGTGTGTGTGTGTGTGTGTATGTGTGTGTGTGTGTGTGTGTGTGTGTGTGTGTGTGTGTGGGTGTGTGGGTGTGTGGGTGTGTGGGTGTGTGGTGTGTGTGTGTGTGTGTGTGTGTGTGTGTGGTGTGTGTGTGTGTGTGTGTGTGTGTGTGTGTGTGTGTGTGTGTGGTGTGTGTGTGTGTGTGTGTGGGGTGTGTGGTGTGTGTGGGTGTGTGTGTGATTATATATGTTTTTAAAGAGGCCCTAGTATGCTTATGTAGTGTGTTAGGGCATCTTAGAGAGACTCTACAGTATATGTCTTTAGTGTGTTATATAGTTTTTGTGCATGAAAATGTTCTGCAAAGGTTAAAATTCCTGTCCCCCCCCCCGCCCCTTGCCTGAAAATCCTCCATTGGACTCCTTTGTTTACTTCTCGAACATAGCAACATCACTATGGAACACTCCTGCTTCTATTGGCTATCGCCCCAACACATTGTACCTGATAGGCTAAGGGGCGGGACATCTCTAAACGGTTTCAGACAGAGGGTGAAAAGAGGTGCTGCAGCACAGGCCGTATCAGAACAATAAAACACTTTTTAAACATTAAAGCATGGAAACATGTCACAGTAGAAACACACAATACAAAATGAACCTGAAAATTAGCATCATAGAGCCCCTTTAAAAAACGTTCTTGAACATGTGATGTTGAGATATGTAATAGGTGTGTTGGTTTTATGAAGATGATTATGGTGTGTCTGAAAAAAGCATAACCACATCAAAAGAGCATGTGCTGTTACAGCAATAAAATACAAATTAATTTTGTCTCTTAAGAATCACTAGGCAAGAATTGTTATACTTTCTAAAAGTGGTGGGGTTATATCCCCAGCATCCCCAGTGTAAAAGACACCTACGTATATGTGTGTATCTACTTATACCTGCATTGTGTTTATCTCCTCACCACCAGGTGAGTTCAGCGACGGCTCACAGGAGGCTGGCGGTGTGTACCAGGTGCTGGAGATGCCGTACGAGGGCGAGGACATGTCCATGTTGATCGTTCTGCCGCGGCAGGAAGTGCCTCTGGCCTCGCTGGAGCCCATCTTCAAAGCAGCGCTGCTGGAGGAGTGGGCCAACAACGTCAAGCGGCAGAAGGTGGAGGTCTACATGCCCAGGTGAGAGTGGAATACCTGCTATACAACATCTTCTGTTTTGTGCACCTAATTCCCCTCAATATGCCTTGGTTACTTGTGCGTCCATTAGTGGTTAGCTACATTTTCAAATAGAAGGATTCTTTATAGTTCCTGAGGGGGACATTTTTAAAATCGTTTGCTTTAAATCGATAAAACATAACAATAACAACATTTGACTTCCAGCACATTGACATCTTGGTTTTGTGTTTTTCTTCGTGACAAAATGATAAGTTATCATCTACTCATGGTACCTTTCTCCAGGAGCTCTCATTATTTAGTCAACATTTCTTGGTGCAAGCTATTTAGCAACATACTTTTAATAAATAATTCTTATAGGCACTTGTAAACATGTCACAGTAGAGGCACTAAGTACAAATATGAACCTGAAAATGGGCATAAAAGGGTCCCTTTAATAAAAAAGTGACACAAACTCTACTAAAACAAATCATGTTATTTTATGAGGATTTTTTGTGTGCAATGACTCTACACTGGTGTCCGCGGGGAAATTAAGTCTATTAAAAAGTATTAAAGGGCATTTCTCAAGGTATTACATTTTGTAGCTTGTTTTCAATAAGTATATGAATGGTCCAAAGAGGTTGCATTCTACAGTCTGCCTGAATGTAATCATTGCGTAGGTGTGTAGTGTGATTCTGTGTAGTTTATTGATGGCATCCCGTTGGATTTGACGTCATCTGAACAGGACATCGCGCGCTCACTGCTTGATAGCGCGAAGGTCCGTTTACGCCGGTTGTTAAACAACATCGTTATGGGGAAATGCAAGTTTGCGTCCAAATGGTTGGAAGATAAGGAGGAAGGACAATCAATACTGTGTATAGTAAATGTGAGGTAAAGTGTGTCGTCAATGTAACCGGTTAAAACTCAAAGTGGCGATGAGGTCTTAAAATGTATGGAAAGGGTCTTAAAAGGTCTTAAAATGTGTTACATTTGACTTCAGGATTCCTGCATATACCCTGCTCTAATCCTAACCAAGAATAGTGAAATTCTGAACACTGTGTCAGTGCCCCTCTCATAAAATATCTGGTCCCAGCACGATAGCCCCCCCCCCCATGTAAAGTTGGTCTGCCTTTGCATCCACCGTACCTACCTCATACTTCCGACCATCATCACGTGGCATCTGATGTTTTTCTTAAATTCTCATGGCTTTCCCCCAGGTTCAAAGTGGAGCAGAAGATCGACCTGAGGAGCACGCTGCAGGATCTGGGAATAAAAAACATCTTCACCAACGATGCTGATCTCTCCGCCATGACAGGTAACACTCCTCTCTGCTAGAGGCAAAATGTGAGACTTACCATAAAGTTATTATATAAACCTCACAGATATAGAAACAGAGCAGGGTTCAGCGTGAGAAGGTGATTTCATATTTCTGCTCCTTGGCTGCAGTGAAGTTGCCTCCGGTACTTTTCTCAGGTAACCACGGTAACCGGCAGCGAGTGGGCAGGTCAGAGCTGTCACATCATCATCGGACAAAAATAGATCCGGAGAGAGGGATATGCACAGAGGCAAAGAGACAGGAGACATACATATAAGTCAAACATAAAATAAAATATTGTTAGCTGAAGATAAGACCCATGTCCAAGAATCATATCATAAATATAAAATAAAAAAAAAATATATTTATATAAACATCAGTTAAAGGGGACCTATCATACAAAATACACTTTTGTATGTCTTGTATACATAAACATGTGTCCCCGGTGTGTCGGGGAACTCACGCAGCGTCAGAAAATAAAACCCTCTCTCTTTTCCTCCGCACCCAAATCCCTAAAAACGGGGCTACAACGGAGCTGATCCAGATTTGTGTCCGATATGACGTAATATCGGAAATGTAGGCTGGCTTTACACCCACGGCCCTATCAGAAATGTTGCGAAAGAATGCCCGACTGTTTTGGACGTAATATGGTCGGTGCATGTTTACATTAGCATCGCTAACACTCAGAGCTAACCTGTGCTGGAGAGCATGTGTGTGAAGAAGCAGGAAATAAAAAGGAAATCACCTTGTGGTGACCGGCAAGAGAGAAAGCCTTTGAGCTCCATACTGTTTCAGAAAGAATCCTTGATAATCCATGATATGGCGTTTCATCACCGCAGTATTTAGTTTAGACCAGTGGTTCTCAACTGGTGGGTCGCGACCCAAAAGTGGGTCGCGGATGTGTGAGTGAAGAAAAAAAAATTTAATTTAATTTTTTTTTTTTTGGGGGGAAAAGTCTAACTTTTATTTTGAAGGCCCGATTTTCTAACTCTGTGCATGCAGTCCGCGTTGGACTCGAAGCACCAAAGACCATAAACGGTTTTGAAAACTTCTGTCACATAGTGATCATCTTCTCAATAAAATATCTTTGCTGATGTTTTTTTCGAGTCTTCTGGCCAATCAGAATCAAGATTGTTGCCGGAAGTCCCCACGGAGAATAACTTTGCGGTAGAACTCTTCTTTATACATCCATGGGTACAACTTCAGATAGAAATTAACACATAATGAAATATGACCCCCGGTCTGATGACTGACAGGTCACAGAACAATGGGAGCTATCTACCCTTACCCACAATTTAAAGTAAGTCACACAGACTATCTCCTCTTTATTCTTCTCGCAGCAAGATGTTAGAACAAAGTGAAAAACAAACAATGGCATAACATATTATTAATATGTCGGGTAGTAATAGATTTATTTATTTTCTTCTCAGTGTACCAGAATGCATAGTTTATGTTAGTATTTCTAAAAATCTCCTGGGGGAGAATCCCCCCAGACCCCCTGCTGGGGTTGGGTTTTCAGCATGCGTGCCTTTTTATATAGTTCAGCTTTGATTCCATCATCTCATTGAACCTTTTTTAAAAGCATACTTTAGTTCTGTGAAGGGATATAAGGGATATATGCACTGAACTTCACTTTTATTAATATTGTATGCTGAAAAGCGTATATATTACAGCACGATTTTTGTTGAATAGATTTGAGTGCTTCAAAATGTTGGGTCGCGATGTATTGACCAAGTAAAAAGTGGGTCCCGAGGCCTGACCAGTTGAGAACCACTGGTTTAGACAGTATCTGCCGGGTCCCACATGAGCCCCCTCCTTTTTTTTAATCAATTTCTTTCAACTTTATACCCCGAATCAGCACTTTTGAAACAGGAAGTGAAATAGAGGGATATGAGGCATGGCTAGAATGGGTGATCTGTTTGGTATTTTGGGCAAAACACATCATAGACATGTTTATATATCTGAGACCTATGCTATTGCCATAAAAATTGCCTAAAAATAGCATGATAGGTGCACTTTAAATTAAGAATGTGCAATCAAATATTAAATAATGATATTTATATAAACATAGGTAGTTAAAGTGAAATGTCCAATATAAGATAAAAAAATCATAAAACTAAGTGAGAATGTGAAATATAAAAGATATTACATTTAAAAAGAATATTAATACAAACATAGGGTGTTAAAGTAAATAAAATAAAAAATATATATATAATGAAAAATATTGTATTTAAAAATAATAATGTGAAGTTGAATTGTAAAATAAAGATATGTTTAGAAAATAAAATAAACATAATATTTGGCTTCGTGCTGAACAGCGTGTTCCTCCTGGTCAGGTGGAGCTGACATGATGTTGTGAAATCACCGTCTGCAGGCTGTACTGCACGTCGGAACATCCTGTGCCCGCTCAAACCCTCCTCACCTCTGCATGTTCTCAGAGGACACGCTGTCTGCTTTAAATCAAATCATAGAGATGTTCTGTCGCAGCGGACCAGATTTCCTTTTAAATGGAGCTGCAGAAAGTGATGCTCAGTGGACGAGTGGTATTTACTTTGTGTGTGTGTGTGTGTGTGTGTGTGTGTGTGTGTGTGTGTGTGTGTGTGTGTGTGTGTGTGTGTGTGTGTGGTGTGTGTGTGTGTGTGTGTGTGTGTGTGTGTGTGTGTGGGTGTGTGTGTGTGTGTGTGACAGATGGTAAGGACCTGCACATTGGGAAGGCGGTGCAGAAGGCGTACCTGGAGGTGACGGAGGAGGGAGCAGAAGGAGCCGTTGGATCAGGTATGTTACCGCTCAGGACTTGTTGCACACACACATTTATATATATTTATCTAAAGATAATTATTCATATAAGTATATATTCAAACAGATTCACCTCATTATATTGTGAGTATTTTATTTTATGCTGTTATTCATTTATTTTTATTATATCTTTTTGCCCTTCCGCTTCAATTTACTTTGTTTTCTTGTACGTTGTGTGTTTATATTATTTTGGATTTAATAAAAATAAACAATTCCCTCTCTCACAAGAAAATGAATGAATAAATACTTACCTTAATTAATTATCCCTTAAAATAATTAATAGATACATAAATAAATGAACAAATAAATACAGTAATTAATAAATAAATGCATAAATAGATGAATAAATAATGATTGTGTTTTGTCCCCCTTTCCCTCCCTCTCTCAGGAATGATCGCCCTCACCCGGACTCTGGTGTTGTACCCGCAGGTCATGGCCGATCACCCGTTCTTCTTCGTCATTAGAAACCGGAGGACAGGTGTGTTGTGTGTGTGTGTGTGTGTGTGTGTGTGTGTGTGTGTGTGTGTGTGTGTGTGTGTGTGTGTGTGTGTGTGTGTGTGTGTGTGTGTGTGTGTGTGTGTGTGTGTGTGTGTGTGTGTGTGTGTGTGTGTGTGTGTGTGTGTGTGTGTGTGTGTGTGTGTGTGTGTGTGTGTGTGTGTGTGTGTGTGTGTGTGTGTGTGTGTGTGTGTGTGTGTGTGTGTGTGTGTGTGTGTGTGTGTGTGTGTGTGTGTGTGTGTGTGTGTGTGTGTGTGTGTGTGTGTGTGTGTGTGTGTGTGTGGTGTGTGTGTGTGTGTGTGTGTGTGTGTGTGTGTGTGTGTGTGTGCGCATGTAAACGTGCGTCTGATTCACTGAATGTGTGTTTTGACCAGACTTTCTATATTCTTCCTCAGGGACCATCCTCTTCATGGGCAGGGTCATGACCCCCGAGGTCGTCGACCCCAACGACCAGGACTTTGACTCCATGTAAAACAGATCTCAGATCCTGACGTCATAAACGCTACCTATCCTCTATCGCCATCTTCAGCTGTGTTTTATACTCCTTTAAAAAATATATATAACACGATATATTATATATTAACATATGACATATACACGTGACTGTGTTTTGATACTGGAAGCTTTAAAACTCTTGTATACAGACAAGCAGAAAAAATGAAGATGTACATATTCTCTGGCAACACAAGTTTGTATATGAGGAAAAGAAAACACACGTAATCCACGCACAACCCCTTTAAGTTCAGCAGCTTCAAACTCACCTGCGCCCACACACACACACACACACACACACACACCAGGCACAAACATATTTCTGCTTTAATTACATCCCTGTACATTCGACATTGTGTTCTATATTAACATATATACTCAGTATTTATTGCAGCATAGACATTTTGTCCCTACAGGGAATGCGATGCCCCAGAATGCACCGCAGCCATCTTTGGAGGATAGCAGCAGCCATCAATATCTATCAGCGTTTCCCATCAGAATTGAATAAATATTAATGCCCTTACAAAGAAAACCTCTGGGCAGAAACAGAGGAGCGTTATTTAGTTAGTGTTCACACATATTTAAATATTAAACATTTGGATGCCCATGTCAAGTTTACAAAAGAATGGACACAGGACCTTCAAATCTACAGGTTAATTTTTATATAACAATAAAATAATCCAGACGGAAGTAAGACAGCTAATGTTATGCTAACTGAGTGCTAACTTAACGTCGGCATGTCATGCTTAATCAATCTCCCGTAAATGTACGTGTCCTGCGATATTTCCTGTTAGAAATCCTATTCCCAGCGTAGTGGTTTGTGTTACTGTAGTTCAGCAGATGGCTGACAACCAACACAACTCAGCGTCTCTTGCTGAAGTTTGCTACGTCTCGCTCGTTTCCATGATAGTTTAATAGAATAACATGTAATCCCGTCGTCGTCGTCTTTTTTTTTTTTTTTTCATTGGTGTTACAGCCAGTATAACAGTGCCTACTGAACATGTTTAAAACGTTTAAAGTCAAAAAGTTACAGCTACTTCACTCGCTGTACAGTCAAAGTCAATAGGTTGCGTATCAACTAGTATCCTCCAAAGATGGCCGACTTGCCGCTGATGACGTCACATTCCTTATACACTGAATCTCAGTAATACACTGACAGTATTCTAGTAATTTTTTACACGGTAGGGCACACTGCTGATGAACTTATATGCCTTATATGAGTGGTTGATCAGGCCCCAGCTGGGCATCTCACAGGTGAGCAGGGGAGGCTGCGTAACTAAGGTGGGTTGCTATGGAAACGGACCGGAGCATGCAGGCAGGCGCACTGAAGAAGATCTGCTTGCACTATTTTCTGGATGTACATACAGGGAGAAACAGAAACACCAGCTGTAGTCTTTTACTCAATAAACATGAATTTGTTCCCATTTAAAACTGTGTCCTTTTTTAATGTAAGCTGTATACAGCAGCCATTTACAGTGTGAAACATTTATTTATTTGAAAATGTTTTTAATTTGAAACATTTATTTATTGTTTATTTATCTTCTCTTTTTTTGTCTTAATTCAAAAAAAGTATTCACAGACAATGTACGGATAACAAATTAAACTGAAGTAGAGAGGCAGGGTTAGGGTTAAAAAAAAAAAGACTGAAATAATAATACTTTTTTAAAGCCCTCCAGTGACTGATCAAACTTTGATAAAAACAATGATAATAATACAAATAATAATATATCAAAAATGAATCTCAAAAAGACAATATTAAACTGAATCCCAACAGCTAATAATACAACTTTTAGGTTCTTTAAAATGAAGGATTAGATGAGACTGAAAAACATGCAACGCTTCCGGGGTTTATATATCCTGTTATATATATATATATAGATATGCTGCCTGAATATAATGGGTTTTATATAATGCCCCAAGGTTAGCTGCTACTGTTAAACTGCCAACCTGAGGGCAGAAGTTGGCTGTCCTGCTTCCCAATGTCCTGCCAAGTCATCTTGGAGTGGTTTCAAGCCTGTGGCATCACCTAGCTAATACACACACACACACACACACACACACACAAGGTAACAGATCATATCGCTAAGCAAGGCAAGGATATACGATGACCGAGGAAAAGAGAGACCTGCATGTTGACTCTGTTGATCCAGTCGGTATTATCTTAAAGTACATTTATTTTAAATCTTTCTATTTAAGTAACATTCTGTCCTGGACCTGGAGAATGAATCATGTAGTAGATCATGAGACAAAATCGTATGAGTGTTTTAGCCTGCTAACATTTCTAAATTCAGATCTCAATTTTAACAGCCATATCATTGGTGGTCAATACATCTCATATGTATCACCTTTAAAATATAAGATACATATCTGGAGAAAAAAAAGTAAACTGCGCATTATATCTTAATTGGGTTGGACTACAGTCAAAGTCTCTCCTAGAAAGTATTAATCCTCAGCCCCATGTTGAACAGCTGAATACATTACACACTTTTCTGACCTACTTTCCTCATATAAACCCTCCAGGAATATTCTTCTCTTAAACAGGTTTGCTTACTGTCCCCAGAGTACAAACGAGACATTGTGAAGTATTTTTAATTGTATTGTACTGAACAGAACTCCAGTTTGTACTTTTAACAGATGGTTTAGAAAGGAATTTTGTTATAATTCAATAGGGTGGATTTCATTATTATTATCATCGTTAGCTATGGACACCCGGGTGCAGATTAGCTATGGACACCCGGGTGCAGATAGCATCGTGAGCTATGGAGCCATATAGTATCTGCCCATTTTTTTGTTTTGTTTTGAGGCTTCAGGCCTATAAGCTTAAATCTGGGGAATAAGTACAACTGCACAACGAATACATGTATTGCTGTCTGAATGAAACTGGCACAGTAGTATATAGTAAGTGATTAGGAAAATAAAACGTGATAAATGCATCCCTAACAATGTTCCCCGTCATCATATGAGTGTTTTTAGTTTGTTATAAACACGAAAAAAAAACACTAAAATATGCTTTGATGTGACATCCTTATCTTCAGTCGACGTTTTAGGAACGTTAATTATCTATGAGATGACTTTCAGACGAGATTAAACAAGAACACATGAAGAGGAATCCTTTAACTGCTAAACAGCAAAAGCAGACTGTAGTTGACTGCTGCTAAAATAATAACTCTGTCTTTGAATAACTTGCAAAAGCAATATCTGTGATGAAACACAAGTATACTGTCAGAGGAAATCGTTCGCACAGTCCCCTGCAGTACCAGAGGTTTTCATTTAACTCTTTGAAAAATCGAATAGCTTTTGTGTGTCTTAGTGCTGCAATATCTTAGACACAATGATGAGAAACGACAGCCCGTGACAGGTGGAGGAAGTTATGATACAAATTACTTTCAGCAGCTGGTATGATAGCTAAGGCTTGTGTCTTCATTCTTTGCTACTAATACATCTGAATAACCCTTCAGAAAATATCCACAAAGACCAGGCAGGGTTGTGAGAGTAACCTTAAAGGTCCCATGTCATGGCCATTTCCACTGATCATAATTCCATTGTTGAGGTCTACTAGAATAGATTTATATTGTGCAATTTTCTCAAACAGCATCTCTGTAAACTACGTGTATTCACTGAATTTCACTCTCTGCCTTTAACGGCTCGTTGTAGCTCCTATAGAGAGGCGAAGTCCCTCCCCTTCCGGTGGACCTCCATGGGACCTTATTTCGGAAAATTATGTATTGAAGTCAATGGAGAGAGAAAGATTATCTTTCGATCCCGTTTGAATTGTGCCACGAATTACACATATGATGTTTGTCAATTTAAAAGATCATTTTGCAAGTAAGAAAAAAAAAATGTGTCGTAAAACTGTGAAGTAACACTTGTTTGTGTGAAACACTGTGAAACTTCCATTCACATTTTTCATCATTGTTCCACAATGTTTATCATCATGAAATGAATATCTATATATGTTATAGGCCTACTATACTTGCACTACTTACCGTTTTTATACTTTATATATCTTAGCATATTCATACACACTGTTCATACTGCTCACAGGCTGCTGTGTATATCTAGTGTACCCCTCACTGTTTGTTCATCATTCAATTCATTCTATATATTTTATTCTGTAGATTGTGTACATTACTTTTCACTTTACTGCTTGCTGCACTCCTGGTTAGAAGCTAAACTGCATTTCGTTGCCTCAGTACCTGTAATATGTGAAATAACAATAAAGTTGAATCTAATCTTGAGCAGGAACAAATGTATTTACGTCGTACATATCTGACATTAACGATTAAACACATTTGTGCATTCTTTATAAATGCGACGTTTCTCAATCGCGAGGATGCTGGCTTGGTAGTCGCATACTTCCAAGTCACTTCCTTCAGAAACGAAGCAAGTATACTTCCAAGCCACGGCTTCGTAAAACGAAGAAGAATGGAACAGGCTAACAAGTGTGCTACTCTCTCTAACGGTTTCAACATAAACTGTACCGAAAATAAATACCTCACAATGTCTATCTAATTATGAACTTGCTTTACTTTCACGGAACACATTTATGGTGATAACAAATTTAACAAAGTAACACATTTACCAACACATGTTCTACGCCACTACATACTTACATTTAAATGTGTGCTGCGTCGGTTCAGTCATTCTCCGCAAGGGTTTTTGAAATTGGTCCGTGTGCAAAGCATTGTGGGGATTTTAAGGACGCGAAGTCTACCCATGTGCAGCCTCGAAATTTGCCTCGCCATCAAGTGCTTCATCCAAAAGGACAGGAGGATGGACTTTGTGTTTCAGATCATCAAAGGTAGGCCTAAGTCATTTTCAATGCGGGCCGTCGTGCCGACTTAATTCATCTGTAGTTACATAATCTCAGCAAATCCGACGACTTCTCAGTTGCAGTGGGCGACATTATTGTCACAAGTAAGAAGGAAATTACATACCTAGGATCTATTCTTGAGGCAAACCTCTCCTGTGACAAAATGGCATCCAATGTAATAAAAAAAGTCAATCAAAGAACTAGATTCCTATACCGGATGTCCTCTCTGGTAAACAAAAACACCCTGAAAACTCTGGCAGGAGCACTCATTCAAGGGTACTATGACTATGCTTGCATGTCATGGTACCATAGCACCTCCAAGGCGCTAAAAATAAAACTTCAAACATCGCAAAATAAACTGGTCAGACTACTGCTTGACCTTTCATCTAGAACCCACCTCACCTCTGCCCACTTTGACAACCTAGGATGGCTTAGAGTAGACGACAGAGTACAGCTACTTGCAATGGGCCTGGTCTACAAGATCCACTACACCTCTATGGTACCCATGTACATGTCAAAATTCTTCCCAAAGGTCAAGGAATACCATGATCATAACACCAGAGGGGGCTCCACAAATCATGTGAAACCCAGATTTGGCACAAAAAAGGAGGAATACACGTTTCGCAATTATGCCACATCAAGGTGGAACGCTCTTCCCACAACTGTAAAGGAAAGTAAAACTATACTTGCCTTCAAAACCTCTCTTAAAGAGCACCTTCGGGGGAGAGCATTGCAAAACTGGCCCCGGTAATGGTACACATCTCAACCTGTCGTTCAATGGACAGCTTCCCCCCCCCCCCATCTATGTATATACTCGCATTTTAGACTCTGTTACTAACTGTATATCTGTAGACTTGGTATGTCTTAAATGTCCGGTTAGGATGTATTAGAACGAAATCTAAAATGAAAATTGTAAACAAGCAATCTGTATGTAAAAAAACCACCTGTATGTAAATTGTAAATAAGCCATCTGTATGTCAAATATGTCTTATATGTCTTAAATGACATGATGAATTGGAAATAGGGGACCCTGATGTAAACAAGACGAAAGTCTTTCTCTGGTCTGCATCCCCTTAACAATTGTATGTTTTGAGCTGTACTGTACTGTACCCAATATACAAGCTGTTAATAAACTTTTCAATCAATCAAAACTTGGCTGTGGGTGCCCTGTCATGATAGGTGTTTATATAAATGTGTTGTTTTGTGTGGTAGAGGGTCGCTGTCATTGATGCGTTTTGCCCCCCGGGCCTCTGTTTTGATATTCCGCTGAAGTATACGGTGTGACGTAATAACTCTTCTTTTTTTCCGAGGGAAGGGGGGGGGTCAGAGGGCCTAGGTATAAAAGTCACGGCTCGCCACTGGCTGCTCCTGAATAAAGTAAACTTTGCACTTTCAATGCACCGCCTCCGACTCCTATCTCTCGGCACTACATTGGTGACCCTGACATAAGTCTTGCGAAGTATCCGAGACTGAACCGAACACGGCAAAAAATGCAGTTTTTCTCGAAATGCCGGGGATTTTTGGAGACGCCCGTGGCTGCATCGTGCGCACGGACTGAGGCTCGGTTTGCCCTCCGCGGGATGGCCGAGGACGACACTCGTCATTTCCACATCGTTTCGGCACTGGGAGACAGCAAGCCTTCCGACCACATGGAAATTATGGACGACCTGCTAGGTACAGAAGAACCCGACTTCTACCTCATGGAGCTGTTTCTTCGGGACATAAGGCTGCATGTCCAGACTGCGCTAGCTAACACGGCTAGTGTTGAGCCCCACACTTTGGCCCGAAGAAGATAGCCGGTTCTTCCTGGCCGCCCGGCGATTTACCCCTGAGGTGCTGGCCACTACACGCAGCGGCACCTTCCCTGGTAGAGGCACGCCGCCTAGCAGAGGCTCCGGGGCCGACGACATAGTCTAACGGCTACCGGCTTACAGCTAGTGGCCGTCAACATCGGCTAACAGCTGACCACGACAGCTAACGGCTGGCAGCTACCGACGGCGGGTTCACCTCGACGGCGCCCCGTTTGATCCCGTCTGGCCTCTCCCTTGTCCACGGCTCCTTCCTCCTGGGGATACTGCTCCTGCACCCCGGGGACATGGCTCCTTCCTCCCGAGGACTTCATGCCCGCCGCCGCTGTGCCTTCGCCTGCGGCCGGGCAGCGCTCCTCCCTGCTGGGGGCCACCGGGATGTTCATGCCCGTCCCAACGTCGCAGCACGGCGGCCCTGCTTTCTACGGGGGGCCTGCTTTCTACGGCTGGCGGATGTTTTCTTCATTCGCCACGACGCCTACTGCGGCCCCCTTACGACGGCCCATTCCGGCCTGCCCCCCACCCCCGGTGGGGATGCCCTCGTTAGGGCCCCTACCCTCTCCTGCGGCCCCCTTCCAACGGCCCGTTCCATGGCCCGGCCCTCGGCCCCCACCCTCCTCGTCCCCTGTGGTGCTTCCTCCCGGATTGTGTCCATGGTTGAATTCTGGGGGGGCTTGTGTAGTGATCACTTATTAATACACTGGATTACATAATTCAATCATGGAACTACAGGTTGGGGGTATTGTTCCGCACGGACACTATTGCTTACTGTACCTCCGGGGTATATACTGTGTCCTCCTTCCTTTCGCTTTCTCTTGTCTTCCCGGGCTGCGACCCGACAACATGTCCTTTGCTGCTCCTGAATAAAGTCAACTTTGCACTTTCAATGCACCGCCTCCGACTCCTATCACTCGGCACTACAGTATCCTGAATACCTAATTATGTTACATGTAATCCCTCCCAAAGCCTGCATAAAACTACCATATAGTGTATTAAAGGTGGGGTAGGTAATTTTGGAGAAACCAGCTCGAGTGCGTTAGAATTTGAAAGTACGCAGCCGAAAAAAATCTGCCTCTTCCTTCAGACTTCCTTACAGAGCCCCTCCTCCAACACACACGACGAACGCGCACATGACCAATGAGGGCACGAGATAAGTTTGTGCACAGATGGAAGGCTGACAGGCAGGTAGGCCATCCAGTTATTTTAGCCGGGCCGGCTCAGATGATTGGTCGTGCTTATTACAGCGCTACAGCTTCCACAGATGACTTTTTTTTTTTATGTAGGCCTATTTATTGTCAAAGCATTTAATATATTCATTGCTATCGGGATGTTAAGAGCATTCCATGGAATATAACAAGAAGTGTTTCTGAAGTGAATTACCTACCCCACCTTTAAGTAATTATTTATGCTGAAGCAAGGCTAATGCGTCAATGATCTACTCTAAAATTGCTCTTTTTTTGCACCTCTTTACTTTTAATTAAATAAAACTGGACTAGTTGAGTAATGATTAGCATTGTTTCCCACTATCCCTTAGTTTCCACAGTCAGTTTAGACTTGCCACGGCCACCAGGAGGCTGAAGTCCTCCATACAGATATGTCATTCACAGAAAATGTATATTGAAGTAAAGTAAAGAAGTATTTTGGTTTATTACTCCGTTTTTTATTCATCATTGTATGGAAGTTTACTGAGGCATACATTTAGAAAACTTTATTTGCAGATCTAAGTTACAAAACATAATGGAATAAATACAATTCAAATAATTCAAAGTTGGTATGATAAGAATAAGAGGACCAAATTGAAAAATGGTAGAAGCTGAAGAACAAGATTGTAATAAGTCCCTGTAAATGTGACTGATACCCAGATTACTACACAATTAAACCCAAAAGTAATTGACTTTACTTTTTTTGGTTCTTACAAGAAGTGTTATCTCTCTTGTCAAGTAATTGAGCTTTCACAGGTCATTAACGAGTTGAATATTCATTTGTTGTCCTATATTGTTATACAACTGAACACTGTTGCCAGGTAACCAGCAGCCGTCTCACCTGCCGCTCTGGTGTCAGTCTGTGGAGCGAGCGGCAGCAGACAGGACGGACAGTCTTTCTCTCTCTGTGAACACTGACCGCGGCTCCATGGGAAACAGCTGCTGCTCTGACGGGCCACAGCGAGCCGCTCTCCATGCGTTAGAGAAGCCCGGGAGAATTCACCTCCAGAAAATTGGGACATGTCAGAAAGGTAAGACTCCAGGTATATCATGTTCACTGATAGTGTGGGGCGTTTGCCAGTTTAATTACATCAGGTTGAAGGGACCAGAGATAGGAGGAAGAAAATCAATGAATAAATGACTCGATGAATACGTTAATATGTTCTTAAGTGTAGGCATTATTTAATTAATATAAAGTGACACATATTGTTAGTTTTATTTAGATGTACTTTATTAACATGTATTCGCCTTTTTGTTTACTTTCCTATTTCTTTCATTTTCCCTTTATTTAATTATTTATTTATGTATTTATTGATGTATTTCTGTTTGTGTATTTATTTATGTATTTATTTATCATATGAGGCATTCAATCATTTATTTTTTCAGTCATATATGTATTCAATCCTTTTAAAAGAAAACATTTTAGAAAAATATTCACCATACATTTTGACTAAATGTATTTTCATATATTACCTTTTTAATACATTTAACGGCAGATAGTTCATTTATTGAGTCGTTTATTTTTGGCTATTTAGTTAAGTTACGAAAGATGTGTTATTATTTTTACCTCAAAATGACACCCCTTCAAAAGGTCACTTTATAGATATACATACTAAATTCTAGGTCTAATAGCCCTTCATTTATTTTTTAAATGACATACATACTTATTAAACGTAAGTAGGCCTAGTCACTTATACTAGGATTGCAAATAATACATTACCAAGAGAGGTCAAATACATTTCATTACTGTACAAGCAACACCAATTAAAGAGGCACCCGTGTCCGGCCATCCCCTGCATACAGGTGCTATTATGGGCTAACAGCACCTGCTCAGGTGTCTGCCACTGTCCTGGCAACAGGTCCTAATCTGCATTGTCAGGCCCAGTTCTCCGTAACTCTACCCACTCGGCCGGTGGTCAGGGTTTCAGCGCACAGCAGGGCTTACATTACGACAAGACAGCTGCCAAAAGATGTGAAAATGTCCCGAGTGACCCCGTCTTTGTGTTTCTGTCTCAGTTCTTCAGGTGTGAACACGCTCACTGGCAGTTTTCCCAAATCCCACTCCTCCCAGTGCTCTGACCTCCGGGTTACACGAACACCTCTCTCTGTGGACCAGAGTCCCGATTCTGGACTTGTAGCTACCCCTGTAAGAGGCATACACACACACACACACACACACACACACACACACACACACACACACACACACACACACACACACACACACACACACACACAGGGGCCAAAGCAAAACACTTCACAGGCACTTTTAGAATGACTCCTTTTTGGGGCCTGATTTGTTGTCTGTATAAAGTGGGGCCCCCGGTTGTGAGTGGGTAAACAGAATGACATCCCCAAATAGAGATAATTACCTAAACACACACGCACACACACACACACACACACACACACACACACACACACACACACACACACACACACACACACACACACACACACACACACACACACATTACTGTAAGCCAGTTATCCATTGGGGCTCTCCTAAAGGCTTTTTTGCTACGCGTTCTTTAGCTTTGCTTCTTCCATCTTTTTATACCTTCCTCTTCCACCTCCTTCTCTCATCTCCTAATCTTTCCATTCCAGCCTTCCCTCCTCTTCCTCCCTCTCCTCTTCATCCCTCTCCTCTTAGTCCCTCTTCTCTTCCTCCCTCTCTGAACTGATCCTAATATTCTCTGTCTGTTCCATGCTCTCTCCATTTTACCCCTCAGGGCACTGGCCTCTCGCCTAGATAGATTTGGTACCCTCTTGACTATTTGAATGAAGAGAGATGAAAGCTGGCATCTTACCTAACCCTCCCATGTGCTTTTTTAAACATTTTTGTTACATTTAATAGCATAAGTTTAAGTTTAGAAGTCTCATTTAGACACTTTTTAACAACTGCCTTTTTTATGACACATACAAGCTTCAGCCATTTACCAGAGTATTACTGACATTTCTTATTTCGCAGAGCAAAGCGTTAAACATTTTTCAGCTTTTGTTAACCACAGACTTTTGCACAGTCGAAAAAGGTTGAACATTGTACTATAGTTGGGATATTTGTTTTGCTTGTGTACATAATGTGCGGCAGTTGCCCACTCCTTGATACTTGTTGTCATTTTGCTTGTTTCCAAATGTGAGCTGAATGTCACAATTCCCCTGAGTTGATTGGAGGTTATTCAGATCACCTGTTGCACAGGGTGTTTGGACTGGCTGTTAATTAAGAAGTGAGAGCAGCTTGGGGCATTTCTAGAGGGTTCAAAAGAGGCAGGGAACTGCTGATCCGATTCTTCCTCCATTATATGCAAGCTTCTTGTCAGCAGATATTGTCAGAAAGAAACTCTGGACTTTCCCCCCCCTGAGACTTTTTTGTTGTTTTAACTTTTCTAGTTGAGATTGATTCTGAAACCTACACTGTAAGCCACAATAAGTCAACTAAAGTCAATTAGGGCAACTGATTGCCTTAAGTATTTTAAGTTAATTAACTAAAAACTTACATTTTTCAAGAACTTAAATATGTGGATTAAATGCTATGTACCTATTGATTACAGTAAAATTAAAATGGCTTGTTAAGTCAACTGAAATGTATTCAGGTACTGTGACTTAACCATTTGAATTCACCTCTACCAATGGATTAAGTTAACAGAACTTACAAAAATAAGTACTCAAACAGTCTTTTGGGTTAACTGAACTCAATATTTATTATTAAGTCAACTCAAATATGTTCAGTTACTGTACAGCAATGGATTAAGTACTCAAACATACACTTTTAATTTGACATGACTCAATATTTGTTAGTCTACATTTTAATTTCTTTAATTACACATAAGTCAAACGCATTGACTTAGTCAACTCAAAATCACGTAACTTAAAACTTAAAAACATTGAGGATATAACAGCTCTAGTGAATACATGCATCAGTTATTCGTGAATGTATCCTTGACTCACAGTAAAATAGTGCCTGCACACTCCATTTTGTAAATATTTTAATTCATGAATTCTTCCTGCATAATTTGTCTGTTTGACTTCAAATTTGGTCTGGACGATCACAAGACCTTGAGCACGAACATTAATCAAAATCGTGAGTTTTCATGAAAAGACTTTGCTGTGGGTAGGCTGCCATTTTGGCCATTATACAAAAGATAAAAAAAATTGTATAAATCAGACGTTGGTCTATTGTCACCAATTACATGTGGATGATGTTGGTCCAGCCATGAAAACATCTAGAGGCCAATGATAGGTTTACCCCGCCCCCTACACTGTTACAACACCCCTTTCATAAGTCATGAACTGTTTGTCATAGACCCTTTTGGGAGATATCGTAGCACTCTGCGAGTTTCTGTTTCATTTACGATGGTTTGCTGCTCCCCCTACTCTTTAGCTCTGACCACTCAAATCACTCATGCCAAGTGGAAGGTTTGGTTTCTCTCTGATGAGCTTAAGGTTACCCGCCTGTAACTCCGACTCACGTAGAAGTGCGAGGGGGGCCGTTCAACTTTAAATGTTTTTACATTTTTATTTAATTGGGCGTTGGTTCTGAGGCTCCCTCAAGCTATAATCTGGGGAATCGGTACCACCAAAAAGGCTTCAATGTTTGCTTGTCATCAGGTGCAATGATAACAAATTAAGGTGGTCTCATTATCAGTTGACAGTTTTTGCCTTGCACCTGAACACGTTACCATATATCTCGTCTGAAAGAATTCCAATCAACAAATTAACTAGAACTCCTGAATCCACATGTTCTACTAATCAAGCTCATCATGATATTATATGTATTTAATTCCCCAACCACCTATCCAACAATTGTATTGGTGTACGTCATTCTGCCAAGTTTGGTTTTTATTCCTTTCAGTATTTTATACTTATGCTAGTCAAAAGTGAGCTGGTGCCCTGGGGCTGTTTGCGAGTCAATGAGTAGCAGGTCACTCCTGTGTCTAGACTCTAGAGTAACAGAGGAAGGTATAAAGTTACAGACAAAGTAAGGTCGAATGAGATGAGTGTATAGGGGGTTGAAAAGGTCATGTCGGGATAAGAGTTCCTGCATCCCACTGAAGTCAAACGGATAAAGACAATTAAATGTTTTAGGACAAGCAAAGAGTAGATTCACTTGCTCAATTAATTTAATTAAAATCTCACATGGATTTGCTAGTTGATCGTCTACACAGTGTGATGTGATACCTGAAATACTGCATTGGCAGAAAGATCTGTACTGGTGTGTAAAGATATGAAAGATAAGGGGTGTAAGAAATAGGAGGCTGCCATCATCAGATGATAAAACATTATTACTTCTTGTCAAGCATCAGCAAACCTGAAGGAGTTTGAGTAAAAACTTCACCTTGTTAACACATAAAGCAGTATTGGTTAATGGTCTAAGAAATAACCCATTGATTTAAGCTTCACACTAACTGCACGCTGAGGGAATCCAGTTTAAGCCGGCCCTAATGGAAGCTGCGGTAGATTAAGCTTTAGTGTGTGTCCTCTACTCCCAATCACTGGTGTCTTCGGCATTACACTGAACGGTACAGAGGGCTTTGTTTATGCTGAGTTGTGCATCATATTATACAGCCTTTAATAGTTGAACTCATTGCATTCATTAACTTTAAAAAGACATATTATACAAAGGTATATATTATTCTTTAGTTCCTCTACTGGGACATGTCTCCATGCTTTAATGTTCAAAAAGCTCTTTATTTTCCTCATACTGTCTGTGCTGCAGCACCTCTTTTCACCCTCTGTCTGAAACTAGAGCCCAGTCTGCTCTGATTGGCTAGCTGGCCGGCTCTTTTGTGATTGGTCAACTGCTTAGAGATGTCCTTCTCATTAGCACGTACAATGTGTTGGAGCGCTAGCCAATAGAAGTGTGAGTGTTACATAGTGATGTCATAATGTTCCGGAAGTAAACAAAGGAGTCCAATGGAGGCGTTTCAGGCGAGGGGGGGGGGGGGGGGGGGGTGGGAGAGAAACTCCCTATGGAGAGAGAACACAGGGATTTTAGCTTTTGCAGACCATTTACATGCACTAAAACCTATCCAACACTACAGGAAAAGGAACACCCCATAAAGCATAATGGGGCCCCTTTGTAAAGAGCTGAGTGACAGTTAGGAACCATAGCCGCATTGACACCGCAGTACTTTTCCCACTTTGGTTCCGATATAGTTCCGAAATGTCGCGTTCACACCAAAAAGAGCCGGAACTAAAATTAGTTAATGAAAACCTTTTCACCCCCTTTTCCGTCCCTGCTAGAGACCAGGGACTTTCGTGGGAGAAAAAGGTTCCTATGTCTGATTGGCTGGGCGGATTGCAAACCACGCCCCGTAAAACTGCCAAAATGTTTTTTGAAGCCGCCATTTTATTATCCTCGCATTAGCATTATTAGCATTAGCATTAGCCCAGCGCAGAAACGCAGAGAGACTAACTTATGGCAACACAAAAGAAAACGTGGGAGCGGTGGAGATGAGGAGGTGTCGGCGTTCTGGCGATTTACTCGCCAGTCCCTAACTCCGGGGACTTCCGGCCGGGGACTTTGGGCGGCAGTATACGCCGTGAAGTGGTTTGCGGCCTGCCAGTAAACCCAAAGCAGAAGAAGAAGAAGTGACGTCAGCGGCTTCATTTGCCTAATCCTTCCCCAGGAACTTATTCCGGTGTGAACACGATCTGTACTTAGTTCATGAGAACTAAAGAGTTCATGAGAACTAAAGAGTTCTCATGAACTAAAGAGTTCTCATGGACTATGTTCTGATGAACCTTTGTGGGAAAAGTACTACGGTGTGAATGCGCCTCTTGGTTACACTTTTCTATACCACACATCTCCACCTGTGACCTGCCATCACCATACATACAAAAAATGTCACATATCATTATTCATCTTATTTTGAAAGAGCACATACGATATTGTTCTGTATTGGCCTGGGTACGTTTTGGTTCCTTATTTATAACGGGAAGTTACTATTATTTGAAAACTGAACATCCTGTTGCCACTCATTTGCCCTGTGAGTGACCACAAAGCTCACCCTGCTCTCTTCTTCTTCTTTTTCAGCTTCCCTCGAGTCGTTTCCGCTTCGTGTCTTGGCATCGCCTGGAGCAGTGTGATGTAACGGGCGACCAGCTGACCTGCCCCAGGGTCAGAGAAGGTCTGGATCACTCTGAGAAAACCCCTACCTGTGCACTTTGATCGTCCAGAGATATCCACTCGAAGTTTGCTCTTTTTGCTGCAGTAACTTTGGATTCAAAGAGACAGAATAATAATGTAATAAAATAACAATAAGAGATTACAGTTTTCTAACTCATGCAGTTCTGCAATATGGTTTCTATGTTTGAGAGAATGAACTTAGAACATTATATTTAGTTTTTGCAAGCGTAAAAGAAAACAGGAATTCTTCAGCCATTCATTGGAAGCAACAGACCTTTAAACTACAATCAGAATAATCATGTAAACATTGTTGACATTACTTAATTATTTTACTACTATGTCATCATTAAAGGGCCATCAGATGAGGAGCTGTTCCAAAGAGAGGGGGATGACCTCTGTTTAGAGAGAGGAAGGAGGAGGGAGGAGGAAGGACAACGATGGGAGGATAGACTGCAAGAGAACTGGGAGAACTGTCTGGTAAGTCAGGTGTGTGTGTGTGTGTGTGTGTGTGTGTGTGTGTGTGTGTGTGTGTGTGTGTGTGTGTGTGTGTGTGTGTGTGTGTGTGTGTGTTCTAGCATTACTATACTTGTGGGGACCTAAATCTGTTTACATAGTCACGTGTGGGGACTGGCTTCCCTTATGGGGACAAATTGGAGGTCCCCATGAGGGGAATCATTAATTTTAGGGTGAAGACTTGGTTAGGTTTAGGGTTAGGCATGTGTTGGTTATGGTTAGGATAAGTCTCCAGGAAATGCATGTAAGTCAATGTAATGTCCCCTGAAGTGATGTATATGTGTGTGTGTGTGTGTGTGTGTGTGTGTGTGTGTGTGTGTGTGTGTGTGTGTGTGTGTGTGTGTGTGTGTGTGTGTGTGTGTGTGTGTGTGTGTGTGTGTGACAAAGATGGATAGGAAGTTATATTTTACCAAGGGTTGAGACAATCAATGGGAAAAACAAAGGTTATCAATGAAAACATGCTTACTCTACATTTTAACTATCTAATAACCCATTGGCTATCATTCTCCTCTTGGTGCAGGTAACAATGCTTCTTTGTTCAGATGTAGCGAACACATGTCCAGGCCTAGACTTCTTTTTCATTTAGCTGGTCAGTCGTTTAATGCCCGATTAGCAACTTGAGATCCAATATTGGATATGTGATGAGAGACAACGTCTACAACCGGATTGTTTTACAAGAACACCGTTTACTAGATAATTAGAAACAGATACCAGGAAGCATCTGATACCAAATATCATATGTTTGCAGAATCTGTTGAAAGACATAACAATCTGTTAATCAGGAATATAGAATGAGTGAAAATGTGGCGTTATATACTATTGGAGGTGAAAAGGTAATATATAATTAAAATTATAAGAGCAATGAATTAATGTTTGGCGCTTGCTAGAGTTGTGACAGAGGCTGATGAAAACGTTCTCTACCCGTCTCTCCCCTCAGGAGTTAAATCTGTCCTACCAGGGCTTGGGTGACCCGTTCCAAAAAGAGAATTTCCTCCGGATCCTCCGCCGGTTGATCCGTGTGGAGAAACTACAACTTGTTGACAACTCCCTCACCAACCTGAGTTCTGTACGTCTGCCAAGGTAGAAACTACACTACCCAAACTGCACCAGTTTAGCGCTTCTCAATATAACCGCTGTAGTCTGATGGGAAAGCTGTTTATTTTGGACACTGACACTTACATATATCTGTAACATTTAGGTAGTCTCCATGTTCTTCTGTCTTTGCCACTTGACATAACTAAGTTGTCATTTTTTCATTTGTGCAGTTTCCCATTTCCCGTAAATGTAGTGATTGGAAGACTCTTTCAATATATACACTATGGCTGACTTTCAGTTTAATAACATATATTTCTTCATGTGGGGTTTCTGATATTGTGCCAATTAAGTAAGGCAAGGCACATTTATTTACATAGCACTTTTCAACACAAGGCAATTCAAAGTGTTTTACAAAAATGAAAGACATTAAGAGCATGTGAGACTGACCGTTGAGCGGCCCAGACCAAGCAAGGAGGCAGAGGCAGAACGTCCAAAAATATAACCCGACGTGGGCATTTATTAAAATCATGTGCACAAAGTTCACAGCCTCAATCCTGCTGTTCCCCTTGCACACATCCTGCAGCCACAAGGATCTCACACACACCCAGTTACAAGGAAACAGCACCTAAATACACACATACTAACAAGACACAGGTGAGGGGGGAGGAGACAACACAGGACACCAGGTGCACACAATCATCAGCCACAGACATCAACATATTATTTGCACCCTGATTACTCTCAACCGCTGTCATCCTTACACCAGCATAACTACTCTCGGCGCTCTCGCAAACTCCCCTATCTTTTCAGGCGGAGCCGAGGACCCGACCAGCACCTGCCAGACAACATTCCAATAAATACGGTTTAATCAGTTAAAAAAATACTACCTCAATAATTTGTATAAATGATGTGCAAATATGTAATGTCAACTGTACTGTGCAATCACGCTAATAAAGTGCAATATTACCCGGCCCGAAGCCATCAGTCCATAGTGACTTCGTCCTTCGTCACAGAGCATAAAACACATTAGAAACATTAAAAAGCAAAGATAATAAAACATTAATAGTTACAGTGCAGTTTAAGATATGAATAGTTCAATTAAACGCAGCGGCAAAAAGAAAAGTCTTCAATCTGGAGAGTGAGAGTTGCAGCGGACCTGCAGGTTTCTGGGAGTTTGTTCCAGATATTTGGCAATATCCCGAACCAAATTCTCACATTCCTCTTCCCCTAGTCTTCCCGTGAAATGATAGTTCTTTTGACACTTTTCTAACCTTTTTATATTCCTTTCATCCATTTTGCAGACAACACATTTTCCCTGTTTTACTGTTATCCGAACCCACCTTTGACCTTCAAACCACTTTTACCTGCCTGTCTGTTCATAAAGCAATGCCTTAACCATAACCGCATTGTGCTTCCTCCTTGCAGGTGCAGAATGCTCAACCTGCAGCGTAACCACCTGCTGTGTCTGCGTCAGCTGCCAAAGCTCCCCGCCGTGGAGCACCTCTCTCTGTCTGAGAACGCCATCGGCTCCCTGGGGGGTCTGGGGGCTCTGGGGATCGGCCCGCTGCGCTCCCTCAACCTGAGCCGCAACCCCGTGACCTTCACTCAGGACTACCGTGCACGGTGAGCGGCCGGACACGTATGAAGAAGGTGGATCAAAACGAGGGGGCAGGGGCAGTAAAGTTAAAGATGGTGTAAAAGGTTGTTAAAGAGAAGGCTTTGTCTTCAAAGACCTTCGAAGAGATTCATCGATGCAACCCGTATAGCAAGCGATAAAAAGATGTGGTGACAGGGAAACATTGGGACAGGTTTCTTGGAAATGATGGCCTTTTATCTGGCGTTATAGCAGAGAGTAAAAAGATTTTAATTTCTTAGACAATGGCTGATTGTAGCTGGAAAATGTTGTAATTGAAAGGGGCTGTGATGCTCATTTTCAGGTTCATATTTGGTTTCATGTTGACTGTGACATGTCTTCATGCTTTAATGTTCAAAAAGCTCTTTATTTGTCTCATACTGCCTGTGCTGCAGCACCTCTTTTCACCCTCTGTCTGAAACCAGAGCCCAGTCTGCTCTGATTGGTTAGCTGGCGAGCTCTGTTGTGATTTGTCAACCACTTAGAGATGTCCCGCCCCTTAGCCTATCACGTGTTGTAACTCTAGCCAATAGAAGTGGGAGTTCTATTTCGTCCCTACTGACCGCCAGAGGCGGTGCTTTAGCACTGGATATGTCCATCGCACACATGCGCAGTTCGAGTACCTAATAACAACAAAGTCACCTGTGACCCACGTGACTACGGCTACATAGGCCGGCGTCATTAGTGGATCGGTTTCTTTTCATCTTCTCGCTTCGCGAGAGTACCGCGGCTACATTCTTGTAGCCTACAGCGTTCAGGTTTGAACGTTTGATCTGAGGGATTTCTCTGCAAGCAGCTGGCCGTGGGGCAGCTTCGCGACTGACAGTAGTGATGGCAAAATGAAGCTTTGAATGAAGCATCGAACCACTTGGACAATTGTGTCGGAAATAGGTTCATTTCTCGAAGCTTCAGTTACAGCAACCTCTCCTGGCGAAGTGCAAGGCTGCAGTGGGGAATAGTCAGAGGTTTTTAGAAATGAGCTTATTGCAGAGAGTATAATTCTATAGCCCCAGCGGGTTGACTTAGCATAAAGACTTGAAACAGTAGAAAGCTAACGTGGCTTGATGTTCGATGCACACACACACTAAGACTGAATATCATGTTCTATTTGCAATTAAAGATTGATAATTGTGTGTATTGGGTTATTGAGAAGAGACTAGAGAGTGCTGGACATTTCTTTGGGAGGAGAGGGCCTTTTATCAGTTATTAAAGTTGAAAAGCAATGATTAAAATACATCCATTCCGGGCTTTGAACCAGCTGCGCGGAGGACATTGCCGCATCCTGGCCGCCGGCTCAACCCACTGGGCTATCTATTCCTTGAAATATTGGACTGTTTTTATATTACTGATAACTGTCTTTTTGTTCACAACTTCTCCACATTTCGAAGTGTTTCCCGAGCCAGAACGACCTATCTTTCTTCCTGGCTTGCTCTATAATGATACTACAATTCAAATGCAATACCAACAACAACTCAACAGCAACAACGCAAACTACGACAACAACCCACACATTGCGCATTGTTTAGACGAGGCAGTGCATTGAATAGCGTGAATGGACCGCGAACCAGTCAAGTGATTCATTCAGGAAATGAAGCAGTTGCTGCTTCGGACGTCACATGTCACGTGATTTGAAGCAGTTGCTGCTTCGGACGTCATATGTCACGTGATTTGAAGCAAGCTTCGAAGCACTGCTTCTATGGAATAGGAAGTCCAGGGTTGAAGCTCCGTTCGAAGCTTCAGTGTCAAACTGCCATCACTAACTGACAGTCGTAGCTACGGGTTCCGCATCCTCCAGGAGCTGTGGCCGGCTGTGCGCTGTGCAGAGCCTCGATCGACAGGTTTGTGTCAACTTGTTGCTGGTGATGGCTGTGTCCCCGCACCCTCTCCCAGCTAAGTTGTCCTGATTGCTGTCTTATTTATTGTTTGGCTTAGACTTTCTGGTGACGACAGTGTTCCCGCTTCCTTTACATTACATTACATTGCATTTAGCTGACGCTTTTATCCAAAGCGACTTACAATAAGTGCGTTCGTCCAACAAAATACAACTTGAAGAAAACAGAATCATATAAGTACATCAGGTTTCATAGAGCAAAAACATTTCAAGTGCTACTCAACTGGCTTTAGAAAAGCCAGTCCTTTATTAGTATAAAAGTGCTTCGTTAATAGTTCTATCGCTCGAAGTGGAGTCGAAAGAGATGAGTTTTCAGTTTGCGCCGGAAGATGTGCAAGCTATCTGCCGTCCTGATGTCAATGGGGAGCTCATGCCACCATCCTGGAGCCAGGACAGCAAACCCACGTGTTTTCGCCGTTGGGAACTTGGGTCCCCCTCGCAGCGAGGGCGCAGCGAGTCGTTTGGCTGATGCAGAGCGTAGTGCACGTGCTGGGGTGTACGGTTTAACCATGTCCTGGATGTAGGAAGGGCCAGATCCATTCGCAGCATGGTACGCAAGTACCAGTGTCTTGAAGTGGATTCTAGCAGTTACCGGAAGCCAGTGAAGCGAGCGTAGGAGCGGAGTAGTGTGGGAACATTTAGGAAGGTTGAAGACCAGACGAGCCGCTGCATTCTGGATGAGCTGCAAAGGTCGGATGGCACATGCAGGTAGACCAGCCAGGAGGGAGTTGCAGTAGTCTAGGCGTGAGATGACGAGAGCCTGGACCAGAACCTGAGTCGCTTTCTGTGTCAGCTGGGGACGCATCTTCCTGATGTTGTAAAGCGTGTATCTGCAGCAACGGGTTGTAGCAGCGATGTTTGCAGTGAAGGACAGGTTGTTATCTAGGGTCACACCCAGATTCCTTGCAGTCTGAGTCGGGGAAACAACTGAGGTGCCGATGTTGATTGTTAGGTCAAGAGTGGGACAATCTTTTCCCGGAAGGAAGAGCAGCTCAGTCTTGTCAAGGTTGAGTTTGAGGTGATGAGCAGACATCCACTGAGAGATGTCAGCTAGACAAGCAGAGATGCGTGCGACGACCTGGGTCTCTGAGCGGGGAAGGACAGAATTAATTGGGTGTCATCAGCGTAGCAGTGGTAAGAAAAACCATGCGAGCTAATGACTGATCCGAGCGAGTTTGTGTACAGGGAGAAGAGGAGGGGACCAAGAACAGAGCCCTGAGGGACCCCTGTAGTTAATTGACAAGGGTCGGACTCAGACCCTCTCCAAGTCACCCTGTAGGTACGGTCTTTGAGGTATGAGGTGAGGAGGGAAAGTGCAGAGCCTGAAACTCCAAGTTTTTGGAGAGTGCGAAGGAGGATCTGATGATTCAGCTTCCTCTCCCATAAAGTTGCCCTTATTATGCTCTTTTGAAAGTTCTGCTTGTGGCGTTGTGCCTGAGCTATCATTAGCATTTGACATTTAACGTCCCACAGGAGAACGGCACGCCTGAGTTTCTGTGCCCTGTGCGTGCCCTAGCAGCGTATATTGGTGCTACGGCCCATATACGACAGTCAGAGCAGCTCTTCGTTTGCCATGGCGGCACGAGAAGGGGCTGTGCTCTCTCCAAGCAGTGGCTGTCCCACTGGGTTGTGGATACAATCTCACATGCCTATGGGGCCAGTGGCCATGGAAAAAAAAAAAAATCTAAAAACCCCAATACTGTAGAGTACAAGTCAGAGTGATCAAATAAAATAAATGGTGAATCAGACAGAGTTGTCTTTCTGGTATTTATTTGAAGCTTCAAATATATATATTACAATACAATAAATATAGACACAGGTCCCACAGAGTGTAGAATAATCTGCGCGAGTGTGCGCAGTTCAATATGGCAGCAAAGTTTATATAACAGAAATGATGAAAAGGTAAGAAATCTGTCTTCACACGGTCACATTGTTATTAGACACCTGGCCTTGAGCTGTAGAAGTTCTCGTGTGACTTTGTGTGAGTCTCAACCCAGTAGCCAAAACAGCTCTGTGGCCTTGAAGTAGAGTAGATAGAGGAAAACAGCACATCTAACCAAATGAGAAGCATTTGGTTTAAACATATCAGGATAGAGTGGACATTTCCACTACATTCCCCCCTTTTGATCATACTTGATCAATAAAAAAAACAAATGACAGGATAGACTGATATAACACATCAATGAATACACTCCATCGCTGGTTTAAGTAAACACATCCCAAATATATCATAGAAAATTGGCTGTTTTTGTGGAGGACAGACTCCAATATAATGTAAGCATACAAGGAGGAGAGTACACTTGATACACATGATTATATTGATTATATTGTAGTGTCGGTATCAGACTCTTCTGATTCTAGCTGGTCTATCTCACTGTGGCGCAAAGGATTGTCATGTAATGGAATAGCAGTATACTGAACGAAAGCTGAGGATACCATGCTGGAAACGCACTTCTTCAGTATTGGGATAATCAAACAGACATATAATATGACACAGGTCAAGAGCAAATTGGTGCTGCATGAGCATGTTCCTAGAGGCTATTATGAATGGGGCATGACCTGGAAGCCTTGCGTCGTCTCGTAAGTGAGGTTCTCTAGCCGAACGTGTAAGGTATCTATGTTATGGGCTTTTTACCTTGTGGTGTTCGTGGTGTTGGAACTCTGGGTAATGATGTGTCGTGTACATTAAGGACGTGAGGACAGTGACTGCTGGATTCAAATCCACTAGAGTGCATGTACCTATCCAGAGGGGAGCCAGCATTTGATAGAGCTTGTCGCCGCACAACCAAACGTAATCTTGTGGCGAGCTAAACCCAGCATCACTGGGCCAGGCCAGTTGGAGGGAAATATGGTTAACATCAGGGAATGCTACGTTAGAAAGGATTCTTCCAGGGACACTGAATATGCAATACGAGATATTGTAAACACCGTAACTGCACTGTGCTATCTTCCCATCCCTTAGAGTAATGTTACCAATCCCTGTCTTGACCAGCCCCTCTGCCCATGTGGTTCGCCCTGCTCTCCCCATGTACCTCTTAGATACCTCGATTTTGGCTGACATGCTGTGTGCTGACCATGGATACATAAAATATAGGACTA